ACTGACTGAAATGAGAGAAAGACTGATTGTGAGACTTTGATATTAGATAAAATGAATATTGATAAAGTTTACCTTTATGTACAGAATCTGAATATCGCAAAAAAATTTTAAAAATTGCAATAATATTGTATCGTGCGTTAAGTATTGTGATAATATCGTATCGTGGGATGTATGGTGATTCCCACCTCTAATGGCTACACAGTTATAGTTCTCCATTTCTAGAAGCTGCTGTGCTTCTGAGATGATCAGAGCAATATGTTTGGGGATAGACATCTGATTCTCTCTCTTGGCCAGGCCAGAAACTATAGATCTGTGGTTTCCAACTCCAGGCCTCAAGGTCTGGTGTCCTGCAGGTTTTAGATATCACCCTGGATCAACACACGTGAATCAAATGATTAGTTCATTACCGGGCCATGTTGAGGTGGTCATTTAGCCATTTAAAACAGCTGTGTTCGATCAAGGACACATCTAAAACCTGCAGGATGCCGGCCCTTAGGCCTGGAGTTGGAAACGCCTGCTATAGATGAATCTCCCATGCTCAGTGGTACAGTGCTTAGTATTGCTGGAGCCCTTTTTTTGTAGTGTTTTCAGGATTAGGTTAAGTGGCCATTCCAAAATTAGCTATATAGGTGCAAATGTGGGCCTATGTGTCTATCTACTTTTGCCCTGTGAAGCATTAACAACTTGTCCAGGAAATGTCCAATCACTTGCCCAGTGTCAGATGGTCTCACTGTGAACCGGATGGATGGTACAGAATCACAGGTTCCCATGTGATCCTAGGTGCAGTTGATCACATTTTGCTGTCCAAATGCTTTCTGATGCTGCATTTTAAATAAAGGCATTCAAGGAGAGAAAATCTTTTTCATGTCATGAGCAAGTTTGTTTATCTACTGAAGTTTAGATTCTGATTTTTTGTGCAAACACGAAAATAATAAAAACGCAATGGAAACAAGTTTGTCTGGTAGTTTTATCATTTTTGTTCACATTGAATTATCACATTCTTTTCACATTACAAGATACATCAGACGCTTCAAGTAAATAAAAAATTTGTGCTGCAAAGTCACTGAAAAATAAAGGAACATGACTTAACGGAAGTCACATCAGACTGCGGTATGTAAATCATTTCACTCCTCAGCTTAGATCTGATGAATGAGGATTGTATCGGGCTAAAAATATCATCCATTCTGTAGTTCCTTGTTGGCAATACAGGAATGTTATCTTGTTTACTGCCTTGAAGAATATTATGATGAGTCTGATTGCATTTAGTGAGTAAAGTTAAGGATGCTTCTATCAGCTAAACTTCCTGTTGGCCGGTTTAAATATGCTACATTGTGTGGTATGTTCAGTGTGAAAAACACAGGAAATGGACTAGGGTCATCCATATTTGTGAGATGAGAAAGAAGGCTGACTTCCTGAACTCTAAATACTCTAAAGGATAAAGGCATGCTAGTAGGAAAAATAAATCATGTTCATTGTTCTTTTCTGCTCTTTAAGAATCAAGGGACACTTCATTTGGACCTGATCATGGTAACTTAATCAGAAATAAGTGAAGAGGCCATGTTAAATAAAACAAAGATGCAGTATCCTAACCTGATTACCCCGTTTATAATACAGACTGCTTGTATAAACATTCATGTCAGCTTGAAATCCTTTTTTTTTTTGAGAAAACAATCCCAAGAGAGCTTTTGCTCTCAGGCAGTCTGTTTTGGAATTATGGCCATTTTTCTAAATAAAATCCTTCATTTTCAGAGGCTCACTGGACAATTGACTGACAAGCAGTTTCATGACAAAGAGAAGCCTAGTCCACAAATTAAGCAGATAAAAGAGTTGATTTTGAATTTTGAACTAGAATTTCATAGCTCTTGACATGACATCTTATATGAGGTTCAAAGACATGCTCATGCAAGTGAATGAGGCCAACACAAGGCTGGAAAAAAAGACAAAATAAACCAATTGGAGAGATAGCAAAAACGTTGGGAGTAATCAGATTAATAATTGGAACAATATGTAAAACAATTCATTGGCCAATAGACTTGGAAGATCACAGAATTCATTTCTAGGTTAAGAGAACCTCTTCAAAACATCTAGAAAAGTTAAGCACACTCTTGAGGTTGTAGGTGTATCCTTGTCATAGTCTAAAATCAAATGGAGTCTTAATGGATGTAAATACAGACGGTTTATAACAAGGTGCAAAGCACTGGTTGGTTACACTCAAGAACAGCACAGCCAAATTAGACTTTGATAGAAAACTTTTAAACAAGACTGCCCAGCTCTGGTGCAACCAAGATTAACTTCTGCCAGAATAATGGTGAAAAAATTAAATAGCTCATGAAGTATTTCACGTCATCTATCAGACATGGCGGAGGCAATGTTATGCCATGGACATGTATGGCTGCTCACTGAATCAGGTTACTAGTGTTTATTGGCGATATGACTGCTGATAGAAGTAGAAGGAAGAACTCTGAAGTGTATAGGGGTATACTCTGATCAGGCGGTATTTCAGGGTATAAATAGATAATGACCCAAAACATGCCGCAAAAGCAGTCTTTCCAGGCAAAGAAATGGGATATTCCTTAGTGGCCAAGTCAGTCACCTGATCTCAGCCCAATAGGGCATAATTTTAGTTACTGAAGACAAAACTGAAGGTGGCTGCAGTAAAAGCCTGGCAGAACATCTCAAGGGAAGAAACAGGATTTGATGTCCGTGGGTTCTTCAGTCTATTTCTACAGGATTTCAATTCAAGTATTAAAAACAATCCTTGTATCCTAGGTTATCTTTACTTTTTCCCACAGTTCAGTGACATACCTGGATTAGATTAACGGGTGAGTCTAAATTAGACATAGTTAACTATTCATGAATAGTTAACTGTCTCTCTGGTGTTAGCCTTGTCAAATACTACACGCCCCCAAATTGGATAAGCAGAAGAAAGTAGATGAATGGATGGATATTTAAATTTTTGTCAGCAAGTCCAATAACTTTTAAACCAATCTGCTAAGTGAAAAGAAATGATAGTCTATCATTACTTTAAGAAGCAAATCTCAGTCAGTCTGGAAAATTGCAAAAACTTTAAATTTGTCCCCAAATTGCAGTTGCAAAGACCATTGCCGTGACAAAACTGACAAAAGCCCGAGTGTCACCACTTCTGCTGAGGATAAATTCATCCGAGTCACCAGCCTCAGAAATCGCCAGTTAAAAGCACCTCAGATTAGAGCCCAGATAAATGCCACATAGAGTTCCAGTAGCAGACACATCTCTACATCAACTGTTCAGAGGAGACTGCGCGAATCAGGCCTTAATGGTCAAATAGCTGCTAAAAAAACACTACTAAGGAAAAGCAACAAGCAGAAGAGATTTGTTTGGGCCAAGAAACACAAGAAATGGACATTAGACCAGTGGAAATCTGTCTTTGGGGTGATAAGTCCAAATTTGAGATTTTTGGTTCTACCTGCCGTGCCTTTGTGTGACATAGAAAAGGGTGAACGGATGATCTCTACATGCATGGTTCCCACAGTGAAGCATGGAGGAGGAGATGTGATCGGGATTTATTCAAAACTGAAGGCATACTGAACCAGCACAACTACCACAACATCCTACAGTGGGATGGACCGCAGAGTGAATGCAAAAGGGCGACTGTGGCTCAGGGGGTTGGGAATTGCATCTGTAACCGGAAGGTCGCTGGTTTGATCCCTGGGCTCTCTGTCCTGGTCGTTGTGTCCTTAGGAAAGACACTTTACCCTACTTGCCTACTGGTGTTGGCCAGAGGGGCCGATGGCGCGATATGGCAGCCTCGCTTCTGTCAGTCTGCCCCAGGGCAGCTGTGGCTACAACTGTAGCTTGCCTCCACCAGTGAATGAATAGTGGTATTGTAAAGCTCTTTGGGTGCCTAGAAAAGCGCTATATAAATCCAATCCATTATTATTAACAAGTACTCAGAATCTCTGGGAACTCCTTCAAGACTGTCGGAAAACCATTTCGGGTGACGACCTCATGAAGCTCATCAAAAGAATGCCAAGATGGTCAAAAGCAGTAATCAAAGCAAAGGGTGGCTGTTTTGACCAATCTAAAATCTAAAACAAAATTTGAGTTATTTCAATTTTTTTTGGTTTACTACATAATTCCATGCGTGTTCATTCATAGTCTGGGTGTCTTCAGTGAGAATCTACAATGTAAATAGTCATGAAAATAAAGAAAAACCATTAAATGAGAAGGTGCGTCCAAACTTTTGACTGGTAGTGTATGTACAGTGACACAGAGGGATGTTTCATATGGCCGTCAGCATAATACTGTAGCACAAGCTGTATGAAAGCCAGAGAAATACAAAGAAACTTCTCACACAACATGTTGTCACTATGACAACCAGGCAGAATCATTTAGCCTGATCTCTTGCCTTTTCCACACAGCACAGAAATCCAATAGCATTTAAGTCTTATGCAACCAGGCTGCCAATTTGCTCTGAAAGGATTTTAACACATTTGCAACTAAGATTCATACTAGCACACATGGATTTTTCTGGCAACTTCTTTGACTGTTTTATTCTGGAGGGAGCTTTAGCTGCCTGGTACAGTTTTAGAAGCTAGGTAAGGCAGTTTTAGCAGCACAACTTTGAGCCACACGCAGTTGTTTTAGTGCCATACTCTCTAGTGATCACCCAAACCCCCTTTTTGTAGCTTATAGTGTAATCCTAATGCCTTTTATTTACATTTACGGCCAATTACAGTTCTCAAAAATCCCACACCGTGCCCTACTCAGATTTTTATTTCTACATTCCAGAGGAAAAAAAATCCTCATTTTCTGAATTAGTCTTTACAGTCTTTCACTTTTCACTCTGCTATCACTGAATAATAAATAACCCTGGCCTACGCTCAGAGATAGAAATACCATCTTGATTTGAAACACTTAAATCGTGAAGAGGGTCTGATATAATTCCACGTGCTGCAGCACTCTCGGTTGTGTATATTTGCAGCACTTCCCCGCTATTTTGCATTAGGATTTTAAAAGCGGTTCGGAAGGGAGGTAGATCACGATAATACAACTGAAAAAAGAATATACCAGAAATTGTTAATGACCAAGTCTCCGTGTCAGCTCAGGTCCTTCCTCTAGATTATTTTCTAGCCTACTTTGCGTGCTATCACACAGACGCTTCCCTCTTGTTTCAATGCGTGATTGAAGGGAAACTTCTTTTGGGAAGTGGGGGGACTACTTTAGGTCAACTTTAGAAAGAAATCTTACTAACTTATTGCATACGCTTACGGGGGAACGCGGTTTAGTATAATATACGCTACTCTTTAAGCATAAAGAGCAAAGTGTGAGCTGGGTTGGTATTTTTTCTATCACAAGTGTTATGTTTTTACTACGTCGCGGAAGGATCCTTTTTTCAAGCGAGGGTCGACATATCCGCCCATTTTTCCGATGTTTCATTCCCCCCCGAGTTGAAAATGGAGTTCGATTAAAGCAGATGTCCATCAAGTTCTCAAGGAAATTTCAAGTCTATGTATTTTTACTTTAACTGTCGGTGCTAATACTGAAAACAGTCGGACCATTTTGGGGGGCATTGGATGCCTTTACTGAAAATTACTCGGACACGTTGACGGAGCAACGCTGCACAGCGCTTTTTCAAGTGTTGTCCTGGACCTGAAGTTGGCGAATGGATGCTCGACAGCCAGCCATAAATAACCTGCCAAACGATACAACCTACAACGATTTCTACATTTTTTGAGGATCTATGCACCTTTTTGCAAGCCGGGGATTTGTGTCAGTTGAAGAGGATGGTCCAGATGGCCCATTTGTTGTGGTCGGATTTTACTTCCAGGGAGGATAAAATGAATCAACGATTGTCATTCCTCCTCGCGATTTAACGTTACAGCCCAGCCAGCAAAAGCTAACGTCCAGCTAGCTTCACTTGCTTTTCATAGGGACGCTGAGTTAGGCATGCCCCTTGTACGCCGTTTATTTACTATCCGAAATAGGGGTTATTTCTGTATGTGAAGGAAAATGGTGATATATGTGGTATTTTATCCCGCCGTCACTGCGTCGTCGATGCTATTGCTAGGATTTGGATCCCCGTGAGGAAAAAAATGAGTGAAGATTCAACAAATCCAAACAACGAGTGAGTCCTATTTTACACACACATTATTTTATTATTATTTTATCATTTACATCTAAACACACAGCTAATCTTCAATATGTGCTTATATGTGTAGATATTAACACACCGAGCATCGAGCTACGTTAGTTCCCGGTGACATTTCTAACCGAGCAACGTTGCCATTACATCGTCTTGGTTTACTAATATCAACAATAAGAAACACGTTGTACTTTCCCCCCGTGTTTGTTTGTTTATCAAGCTAATAGAAAGGATTGCCTTGTGAGATTAAACAGAACCGTGCCGGGGAAACAGTGGCATCGATCCATAGTAAAATATTAATCTCGTTGCTACTTTTTTGCAGGCTTATGATACTGCTAACCAGTATATGCTGTGAGAATTCAAATTAAAGCCACAACATTGTACACAACATGTACTAATCTTTGCTCATTTACGAGGCACTTGCTTGGTGTATTATTATTTATGTTCGGGAAATGTATTCATTCACGAAGGATCGTTCGGAGCAGACGCATAGATGGCAGTAATCTAAATATAATTTTATGTGAGTGCTTTCTCAGTACATCACGATCTGAGTCCTCTGCATTGACAGCCCAGATCTGTGTCTAACTGCTGTCCGCCATGATTTCGGAACATAATCATCGATTAAAATATTGCGGATTGTGTTTGTCTTTAAGTCTAGCCTTTCTTTAATGAAGGCTCTTCGCGGTTAATGCGGCAAAGTCGGCATTGAAAAGCCGAAGATGCCATTTTTTTTCTCAATCATGCTCATTTACATATCACAATCCTCCATTCATAAAAACGCTTAAAAACGGCATCGCATTCACGTCCAGAGCCTCACAACCTACGGGCATCGATTATAATATGTGCAAGCTGTGTTTTTGTACACGTCGCGCCCATTTCAGGTCGCATTTTAGTATTGTTTTAATGGGCTGATCCCTTGTGTGCGCTTGTTGACAGTCAGTGAGAAATATCTGCTTCGGGAGGTGCTGCGGTCACATGATCCCCTCCATTCATAAAGTACCTGCCTGCCCATTCACAGCACTGTACACTGTTTCGCATTGCACCGACGGTCACACAGTGATCACATATTCTGCATTCGCGGTACAATACATCGCATATAAGCGCCTGTGCTCGTTTTTCAAGTCGTTTATTTTACATGTTTTTTTTCTTAACCATCTCGACGTGATTTTTCTTTCACAATGCGTTTGTCATATGCTCTTTTCAGCCATTTACAGTGTCACGGTTTAATGTCTGAAACACACCCATGTTTTTTGTTGTTGTGGTTGTTTTTCCCCATTCAATCTTTCTGGCCTTTGTGAGACTGATTGATTTAATGCATGGAGGTTTTGTCCTTGAACTACACTGCTGTTTTGTTTTTATGTAACATGTGTCATGGATTTATTTATCTTTCCTCATGTCAAAGCACAGGAGCTCACACATGAATTCATTCCAGGCTATATTTGCTCTAAACCTTGATTCAGCTTGAATTGTGTGAATTTGTGAAACCTCATCTCCTAAATTTGATTCGGCTCCCTTCAATAATCTCGGGAACTCATCCATGCCCCAGATCCCCAATTTTTCAGAACTACTGCCACAGGCTAAAAAATAAAAATCCTCAGTTCCACTCAGCATGATGGCAGCAGCTAAAATGGCGAAGCGATCCAAACATTGTTGCTAAGATTTCACCACCTTTCCTCTTGTATGATTCATAGTAATGGAGTGAACGGAATACTGAGCGCTGCCTGAGCCATTTATTTTTGCTGAAAAGCATCTATTTAATGAAATATTTTTCATGACACGTCTGTCTATTGACAAAAAAAAAAGAAAAGATTTGGTGTGCCACTTTTTATTTATTTATTTTTTTTAAAAAGTCAAGGATAATCATTCCCCCCTCATAGTAATCTTCACCATATCACATTGTGAAATAGAGCCACTTTCCACTGATGAATTAAATGTTGGTCTTTGAGCCTCTGAATCCTTAATCAAACTGCCTTTTTTCTCATATGTAGAACAAGCGTAGGATCATTTACAAATGTAACTAGGGATGTATTATTTATTTTATTATTAATTTCTTTTACATTTTGCTCTCACAGCCTCGATTTTTAAACATTTAATGTGAAAGTATCCACATGGTTTGTGAACAGATAGCCCTGAGGTGGTTTAGTCTAAATGATAGGTGGTAAGCCGAGCTGGTTTACACACAGCACGCCCTTTGCTGAGAACATGTTACTTGGCCTTGGTGCAACAATGTTCACATGGCTGAAATGACAAGAACGCACTTAAAGCCTTGTGAGATTTTGGTTTGCGTCTCGTCTGGGATGTGTGCTGTGATGTAAGGCTAATGTGAATTCTGTAGACGAGGACTGTGGTCTTCCTGGGAGACGTGGGAGATTTATGCAAGCACAGTATGTGCAAGCAGTCTCTTTGTGAATGTCACGTTTATCTAAAATATTCATCTCTACCAAAGCGGCTGCCTTTTGAGGTGTACTGTGCTTATATCTCTTGTTTTCCAAATTACCGTTTTTTATTATCCTCCTCCAGTTTTTAATAAACACATGCTAATATTGCTAATATAGTTCAGCTGGTCCAAGTATATAGTCTGATTCTTTTTTCTTTTTTTTTTTACTTAAAAAGGATGAAGGACTCTTTTTTTTTTTTTTTTTTTTTTTTTTTTTTTTTTTTTTTTTCTCATCAGTGAAGGTCAGTTGCCTCAGTACCTCACCGAACATGTCTAGGGTATAGGCTCATTGTTTTAGATTCCTGTAGTGCTGTGGTATTGTCTGTTGTCAGTGTGATCTTTTAGTGATTCCTCTCCCTGTGTCCTCTTCCCATCTGTGTGATTGATTTGACAGCTCAGCGTTTTATCTGCCATTGTTGTGATCTTATCACCTGTGGGCTGGTTTACACTCCCATTCCTGTTGCGGAGCCTTCCAAACACATTCCTCCCAAACAACCCCCATCATGTCCTGAAACGACAAAGGGAGACAGCTACTTCAGCTGTTAGGGCTAGTGCTTTATGGCCTGGGTAATTGCCTATATCCTGTGGCCCTCATGTTAAGCTAAACAATTTCCTGGACCTTTTTATAGATAGTATTATTTGGGGTTACTGCCAGTTGTTAGTTCTGACCTCCACCACCTACTCCTCCAAAACCTTTGTATTACTAGTCTAAGCTTGCAGACACACCTTACCTTTAACAAAGTCTGCTGAGCTAACCACGTCTTTGGTTTTGCTTCTGTATTCTTTTGAGGAAGTGATGGTTGTGGCTGCAGTAGTTAATAGGCTAATGAAATGGTGTTATTTGACAAATATGTATATATAGATATGTAAGGGCACTTATAAAAGTATTGTACTTGACTGGTTAATGGTTGCATTCTCATATTTCATTAGATGCATGGCAGATTTAGGACGTACATATATGTCTTATATGTTAGGCTATAATGGGAAGTTTACAATGTCTTTCTACAGACTTTGACACAGTGTCCACCTAATAAAATGTTTTGTAATCCTAAAACTTATCTTGTGTAGAGAGTATCAATGTCTGAACGTCTGCCTGTTTTATTAGAACCTGCTGCTTTGTCTCAATAATGACAATGAACCTTTGTACAGTCAGTGGGCTTTGGCTGTAACCAAGACATGTTAACATACGAACAGGCCTTGTATAGTGTTGGGCTGTTCCATTCCCATGGCCAGATTTGGTCCTGGATTCTGTGTATTTAAAACCCAAGCCACTTCCCTCTTTTAAGTTTTTCATTTCCTCTTGAAGTATTTTAGGAGCACACATACACTGCTGACATTTATGGCAGTTTATTTGGAGGCTATTTCAAACCAATTTACAGATTTTTAAGAGAAAGACCTGATGTGAATGTATGCCATGTGTAGATATATACATATACTGTTAAGCCACCAGAAGAGAGAGAGAGAGAGAGTGTGTCCGTCCGTCTGTCCGTCCGTCACAGCATCCACATAGCAGTGATTATCTTTATTTCTTTGTCAGGATGGTCCTCTGATGTTCACAGACCATATCCTAATGCCTCTAAGAAGTGCTTTTAGCACTAAGTGTCTGAATTGTGGATATTGTTTTTAGTTTAGTTATGCTGTATGTGGGAGCATGAAGGCTGAGCCTTGTAGTGAGCTCTCTGCTGCAGCTGGTCTAAGATGGTTCTTTCCTGTGAGGTCACAGACATAAAAGGGCACAGATGTAAATCCTAAACCTTGTGTCTTTGATTGAGTTTGCAAACGCTTTGAAAACAGGAAGGGGTTTCTGTGTGTGCGTCTGTGTAGACACACTGCAGTGTTTACGGTATTTCTCTGGAAACATTTGGCGTGTATATGGGTTTCTGGGAAAGATCGAGCCAGATCCTAGACGAGGGAATTTATGTGCACATAACGTGTTATCAAATAAATTGCTTAATGATTCACATTTTTAAATAGGATTAAAATTAGAGGCCTGTAAGGATATGTATTTTTATCTCCTCAGGAAAGTTTTGATCACATTTTGTGCTGTCTAGAGGCTATATTTAGAATTTGGAACAGACTTTTATTGAGAGGAAGAGGTTCATGTAAGAGCTGCTTGAAAAATGCACGATTCATAATGATGATAATGTTATAGTACTCCTAACAACTGGGCGTGCTGCGATGATGTACAACATGTCATTGCAGTTTCTCTTAACCTTCATGGGCCATCATCTTGGTTTGGTGGTTTGACCTTCCCAAGTTCCTCCTGAGATATATCAATAGTTTCTCCCACAGCTAGATGGCTGCCTTGTCCCCTTTAGCTTCCTGTTTCCCCATTAGTTTCAAAGTAGCTATGACGAGTAGATGGTTGGTCTTTGGGGACTACTCTTACATCAAAGCAGCCCAGAGACGCTGCAGCAGTCGAAATTTGTGGTTCCTCTTTTTCCTCTTTTTGTTGTAATGGCAGGCACGAGGTTTTAATTTTCCAAATGCTTGTGGTTCAAATTAAGATCATCTCAATATGTGGCTTTGATTGATGTTTGAGAAT